ACAGAAGTTCTACCAAAACTGGGCTCAGCAACAAACAGGGTGGGAGAGGAGGGAGTATGAGGGGGACATGAGGGGGTATGAGCATTGCCATGACTAAGAGGATGCCTCAGAACCAGTGAAGGACCACAGAGTTTCATCCCTTCCTTTGGTGTGGCAGAAGGAGGCAGATCAGGTCACCGATAGGAGCTGGATTTGGAAAACAATGCAGCTGGACTTTGCCTTTGGGATGTTAGTTTTGGTTACTGGAGTCCATGAAGTTCTGGAGCAGGTGTAGAACATGTGTCCCTTGAAGATACCTTTTGTGTCATGAATTTTGTGTGTTAGTTGACAGCATTTAATGTTGTAATTGTCAAAAAAAATTAAAAAGTAGGATGACTGTCCTGTCTGGTCTGTGGGTGCACTGGTAGTTCTGTGAGATATAAAGAACCTGTTGTGGGGAAATAGGGTTCTCAAATCCATTAAAGTTGATAGAGGTTGTAGTAATTTACAAATGCAAATGCATTTAGGGGTCACCATCCATGACATAAGAGCAATCTAAATAACCTCACGATTATTGGTGAGTATGCTATTAGTACACTGCTGAGGGCAACAGCAGACCTGGCTAATATGTCTTTTCAAAAAGCCTCTCAAGAAAAAAACTTGATTTAGGCAACAAAAATCTATTGGACTGCCATCTAGGTTTTATGTGTACCTGCATTAATTGATAAAGCTGTAATTGCTGCTGGACAAGGACCAGACTGTTGTAAAGTTACTCCCTATTTTGGGGGCAAAGTGAACATGTATAGTTTATTACTCTCCATCACTTTGGAATGCGATAAAATAATACCTGGTTATACAGTAGAAAATGTGCAGTACAGAATTAAGGAGTGGATTTCACTTGTAGTCATTTTATGTTGTAAAGAATTATGTAGTTTGCATGACATCCTAAGATGTGATGGTGTGTTAGTATTGATGGTGTAAAGTTATTTTTGGTTATTCAGAAGACTAAGGGTTGAATGCAGTCACAAAGATGATGTTATAGACTTCGCAGATCAATAGTCTATTCTGAAAAAAAGGTGTTGCTAACTCAAAAGTGTTCTCATTTGTTTATGACGGAATGTTATTCACTCCATAACTTTCTTGCATCAAACATAGAAGCTAGTGTGATTAATAAACAAGTTAATAAACACGTTCTAGGATGTTCTTAAGTTTGAATGAAAAATTAGAGATTCATTTCTGAACCAGCTTTACAAAAGGTAAAGTCAAAAACTGCTGCTTTGGATGTTAGATATTTTATTTTTGGTAATGGGTAAAAGGTGTTCATTTAATTTCAAGTGATGCTATGTATGAACAGAGTGTTAATCACCGACCTTATCTCCTCGACGTGCATGTACTATAGATCACCCGTTCGATTTCTATTCCTGTTTTTGTCATGTGAAACACTTCTGAGTTTAGTCACTCGCAGGCAAAACAAGGTAATGTACAATAAGTCATTTCAACGCCTGTGAAACAACTCTTTTCTCTGGTGTTATTGTACAGCTGAAGAAGCAGCTTTGTGCATTGAAGCAAAAGCTCCTTGACAAGAGCAATACTTTAGACAAAGCAAAAATCCCAACTCTGACAAAAAAGGTAGCCGATCTAAACTCCCACAACTGGTAATTAACAGCCAGCAATTAAAATATTAATTATCCTACTATTCATTAAGGCTGTTAAATGCTATTTACAGTTTTATTTGTGCTGCCATTTGGAGGTTTAACTGACAATCCTAATGGGGCCGCTTTTAAAAGATGGTAATTAGATATGACAATTCCATTTACTCTTCAGCCCATACACATAACCATTGCCTATCAATAATTAATTTAATTACTGATATTGAGGTGGAAGTCACTATCAGCTTGAGAGAGGAACATAATTATTTAATAATAAGCCTAAATAAATGCAGTTTCATATGCATTCTTTTTAAAATGTTAATGCCTTATTGCCACAGTTAGAAAAAAAAACACAGAAACAAAACATACTTCTTTGTTTTTGGTTGGTTAAATGTTTACATGCTAATAAAATCCAACAGGAATGTCTCTTTTATTTTGCCAGATGAACATGTTTTGCTGTTTAGCAATAAATGGATATGAGCTAAAACAAAATTATTACTTTAGTTGATTATACGATAGGCACAAGCAATCAGTCAGCTTTCTGTGCTTAATGATCTAAATAAGAATTCCCTAGCAACATTGCTGAATTGCAAAAAAAAATGGTTTTAGTGTGAAGAATCAAAGTGGAAATGTACTGAAAGACAGGAACAGATAAACACTGTGAATACACAAGAGATAAATTAAGCCCTCAGTAGCTAATATTTCAAATGCTTACCTTAACGTAAATTAAGTTAATTCTGTGACTGTTAAAGAGCTTGTATGCTCTTTTTAGTTCTTGTGTGTTTAGGCTCTGAGGCAAGGCATTCTGTTATGCAAAGCAAGTTTGGAAGCTGTAATCTACAGTATAATGCGATATATATATATATGTATACTTGTTAGAGAATACTTTGGTTTCACCTCCTTTCAATATTTTTCATTTTTTCAGCTTCCCCTGGAAGAGAAAACCCAGTGGGATGACGTGGGCAGCACCAAGCGTTCTCACAGGCCTCCACTGTCAGGCGATCACGATGACCGTTTTCAAAGAGACGTCAGAGTAGCACAGTCTGCTTAAAGAATGGATGCATGGACAGATTAATGACGCCTGGATAAGAACTTAAGAACTTTAGAAATGTTCCAAATGCCAGGAGGTCCTTCAGCCCATCAAGCATATGAAGCTAATTGATCCAAGACTCTAATCCAGCCGTTTCTTAAAAGAAACCTGGATAGCTTGTCTGACACTCCTGCAACCATTTGTGTAAAGAAGTGCCTCCTCTTCTCAGTTTTAAATGCATGTGAATACAGGTTCTACTGTGTGTTTCTCTGGTTCGTGTTTCACTGCTCATTCTTAAGAAGTCTGCTACTGTAGGTTGACTGTATTTGTTTTTGAGGATTTTGGATTCTGATCATCATCTTCTCTTTCCAAGACTAAATAAAAATGAACTGAACTTGAACTTGAACTTTATTGCCATATGTAACCGGTACATGCACTGGTGCAACGGAATTCTTACTTGCAGAAAGTCTCTCGATTGTTAAAACAAGTGTTAAAACACAAAGCGCAGACAGTGCATCAAGACAATATACAAACAAACAGTCGACAATGTACAAGTAAACAGTTTAAATGTAAACAATGCAGATGTGTAAACAATGACTGGAGATGTGCAATAAATAAGAAATCATAATGAGGTAGATGGTGTAGGTGTGGTCCAAGGGAAATGGCTAAATGTGTTCGCCAATCGCACTGCTTGTGGATAGAAGCTATTGAAGAATCTAGTGGTCAGTGTCCGTATGCTCTTGATCTAGTGGTCAGTGTCCGTATGCTCTTGGAATAGTTCTGTTCCTCCTGCCTGTTGGCACAGGACATTATCTCGTTGCTCTTTTCTGGACTCATCTCAAAGCAGCAATATCTTTTCTATAATGAAACAATGTGGGGATAGATGTTCCTTGAGGTTTGAGGATTCTAATTTGGCACAGTACGACAGTTTGGAATGCAGGGTCACTTTAAAGATGAGTTCTTGTTTTTTTATATATAACCGTCTACCGTGACACTTACTGTACCTGGAATAAGTCACTTATTATCAAAATTATATCTCATCCTCAATACAAGGGTCAATACAAGGGACCCCCTCCCCTTGTAGAACTTCTTTTTATTAGTTTATTCCTTGATTTCATAAAAAAGAACACAGTCACAGTTGTATTTGTATTATTTTGTTTGGAAAATCAATGCAATTGTAAGACCGGGCTAATAAACCTATTCATACCAGTACCTAGTTTGTATCACAAAATTGCCCCCCTAAGACAAATAAAACTAAAACTCTGCTCTTCCAGGGCCAACCCTCATCTCTGTGTAACGATCCATGAAGGGATTATTTAATTAGCCTTGACACAAAGGCTATTTGTACTTTGCTGTCTTACAGTATAATTGAAAAATAACATTTTTGGTCTGTATCCTCATAGTCTTTAGTTTTCTTACAGAATGCAACATAATCTAAAATCATTTGATAATTCATTTGATCCTTCATCAAATTTTAAAAAAGTGTTTGTCATCACATGTAAATAATAATAGTCAATTACATGTATATACAATATTTAATCCCAAAGGGAAACAAGAGATCCCACCCTCTACACCAGAGAAACGCAGGCTTTGTACACAGACATTCTGGTTGAATTAGGGGAGGACAAGCCCAGATTGCTATCTAGCCAGAACCTCTGGGTCCCAGCTATATATACACATGCATTTCCATCAATATTTGTATGAATTTTCCTTCTTTCCTTTTCCTACCTTGAATACAAACAGTTATTAACATTTTTAAATTAAAATTTTGAAAAAGGTTTTTAATTCTCAAATCACAGGTGGTAGGCGTTGGGAAAAATGCAAGTGTTTGGACTGAGAATTGGTCAATAGAAAACAGAGAGTACAAATAAAATGTGAATGCGCAACTCAGGGTGATGCAATTAGGAGAGTACCCAGGGATCTGTACTGGGACCACTGCTCTGTTTATTTATATCACTAATCTGGTTAATGAACTGGTCAAGTCTGCAGATGATAACAAAGGAGGTGAGTTTGCAAACACCATATAAGATGCAAAGAAAATTCAAAAAGATTTTCCTAAATGAATGAAGACAAGAACAGAGTTTTCCACGGGGGTATTAAAAATATAACCTATAAACCTAAAATAGGAGTCCATTCATACAGTACAGGGAATGCTGGCCAGAAAAGAGGAACCATTCTGAAAGAATGGAACAGAAGAACTATGAAAGTTTACAAGTGATAGAATGCCATTTGACCTTTCTGGCCTGTTTGGAACCTTTGAAGATTTGAAGATTACGAGGATACTTCTTCAGAATAAATGGTGAAACATGAACCAGAGGACGAAAATGGAAACTATGTGGAAGTGCATTTAAATCTGAAAACAGAGGCAATCTTTCCACAAAAGGTTGTGGGAGTATGGAACAAGCTACCAATCATTTTTGTTGAAGTCAATGTCCTTTCTAGAAACTTCTTGGATTCTTAGGTCCATAATACACCAATTAGCAAGGTGGCTAGCTGGGCCAGATGGGTTCCTCTCATTTGTAATCTTTATATTAACCTTTATGTTACAAACGAGATTGTAACATACGCTTTTTCTTTAAAGAAATCATCAACATTTAATGAATACAGGCCAAAAGCTAAAAGAGAAGGGTAGGGCACTCGGCATGCAGAGATTCCCAGTGTGCTCCAAGAGGATATTTGTCTTAGAGCCATGAGAGATTTCAAGAAATCTGGAAACCCGGACGTGGCAGTAATCCAGGAAGATCTCATGCTGCGACAAGCCGAGACTTGAGATCTGTGCACACGCACACACCCACAAGCACACAGCTGCGGTTTCTCCTCACTGCCACGCCCCATAGCCTGGGTCAGCGCTACAGCAACCTGATGTGTATCCTGGATTCACAGGGCAGAAGCAGAACTGCACACTTAACAGGTGGCCTGCCCATTACTGGGCACACAAGCTCATAGGGACAGCTCAGACATGCCAAGTAACCTAGCCAGCCTAGCCAGCATGCCTTTCAAAGCTCAGAAGAAACCGGATCAACAGGAGAATAGCCACAGGAACATGTGGAATGCACACAAACTCCACACACTCCCCGGAACTTCTTAAGCATTTTCCCAGAATGTGAGCAATAATTACATTATTTCCTTCTACTCCCAGAGTAGCACACACTGGTTTTCGCAATTGAAAACACCTATAGCACATAGCCGAAACACACCTACATCACTACATGACCTTCCCATCGTATCGTATACATTGTGTGCTCAGCTCAGCAAGCATCTTCATCTTCGTCAACAGGCATCCCATCAGTTTCTCTTGTTTTACCTGAGAATTATTTTTGTGAGCAGCCAGGCTGTCCTTATAAATTGGAGAGGGGGCAGGAAACCTCTAATCAGTGTACATTTTCACCGTCGAACAGTAACGAAAGCAGCAGCACAAATGGAAAGTAAGAGGCTGCACGTTTCAAACTTGAAGCAGGAGGCTCTTAACACAGAGGGTTCTGGGGTCAGGGAACAAAATGCCCGGCCTTGGTGTTGAAAGAGTGTCCTGGGGATACTGCAATACTATCAGCTGCAGCCACCAGAGGAGCATGCTTGGTCTAATGGCCTCTGCTTGTTTATAATGTTTGATATAGTTCTTATTCCTGTGTTAGAACGGACATCTTGCAATAGCTCCTAGGAGGATTTAAAGATATGAGATAAGCAAGCCCCATCATTTAATGATGTATTCTCCTGAAATATTTATTTCTGTAGTGATGTTAGAATATCACCACAATCCCTAAAAGTCTTTTGTTTTGCATTATTGCCATGTTTTGGTATTTACTTGCTTAGCTTGTTAGTTTTAGTTTAACAGTTCACAGTATACTGATATTTCCTATATATATACAATACCAAATTGTAATACCAAAGAGTTTTATTTTTGCAGGACCAAAAGTTTTACAACTATATAAACTGCACTGACATTGAAAAACAAAAAAAATCAAATCGTTTTTACTGCTGATGGGATCGGTCAGGAAATTGGTCAGTCGAGATCTCAAGGCAACAAACCTAAAAGTATGTTTTCCGACTGTGGGAGGAACTGGAGCACACGGAGGATGTAAATAGTTTACTATTTACTGGCATGCAAATGCAGGGAGAACTTACAAGCTCCACACAGACAGCACCCCAGGTCCAGAATTTAATTCAGCAATGCTAACCACTGCTCCACCACGCCGCCTATGCATTCCATTTATCTGGGTTACACATTGTGAAGAATGCCTCACACAGTGTTCTCATCATTTTACATTTCTTCTCTCCCGCTGCATGAACTTCTGCCCATTAGCTCCTCAGTGTGCGATGGAAATGCAATTGCATACAGACATGCTTCCGCTGTCGTTCTCATCTCAGCCTCAACTGGCTGACATTAGGCCACGATTCACTTGGCGATATTTCTGTATGATGTCTGCCACACTGAAGTGGCCTCCTCGCCATCACTGTGCATTGGTATTTGCAGGACTGGAATAAACAGAGGCAAAATGACAGAGTTTCAAATCTTGCAGAGAATCCCGTGTTTCCGAGCTCATGCACACGTGCGGTCGTTGATACGGAGGCAGTCTCAGGACAGTGCTGCCACTCGGGACAGACCACAGATAGGTTGCTTTCAGGGTTGTCAGAAAAAGGCAAAGCGCACGAGAAGGAGGTGATCAGAAACAAAGCGTTTCACACAATTCCTCTCGTTAGACCACACGGAGAGCACCGCGCACACTTCTGCCCTTTCCTGAGTTTGAAGGGGTCACGTAACTTTGAAATCTAGAGAAGAGCTAGAAGGCTCATACCAGGGCCTAAGGAGACGAGCTACAGATGTGAACAGAGCAAAGGAGTATAATCCCTTCCCTCTGAAAAAGATGGCTAAGAGAAGTCTTCAGAATTTTAAAGGGAATTAATAAGGCTGTTCCCAGCAATTATTTCAAGTTACATTCAGTGAACACAACACAGCTCTATTCTTCGTTTATCCTATTGCATAATTTGGGATGTTTATTATAGTCCCAGTGCACACACCTTAGAGATCAACTGATTTCATGATCAACAGGCTGGTAACTGGTGAAAGATTAACTATTTTACTGTAATGTACGGTATGAGTTTGTAGATATATATGTATTAAAAGGATGAGGCCTAATAAAAATATGATTTTGTGTATTTTGCCAAACAAAGTAATGGTTACTAATAATAATTGCATTCTGTAAGAAATAGTGGTATTTTTAAGAGCAGACATTGCTATGAATTTTGGCATATACAAATGTTATCTCTGATAGGTCTACAACGTTAGAAGACAAAAATGACTTCTAATTCTGCTTTGCATATATCTAGCCAAAGTGAGCAGCCACAGACTGCTGTTTCATCCTTATTAGGGCCCATCAGTATGGTTTAGCTCTCACAGGTAGCAGAATGAATATGAATCTTGTAAGAATCTCAGATCAGAAATATAGTGATATGTATGAGTGTAGTGCCTTGCAAAAGTATTAACTCCCTTTCAAAGATATCTACACGTTTTTAAAATAAAATAAAAATCAACAGTTTGAATGCTGAAACTGAATGCTGAAACTGTTTTTGGAAGAAAGCAGCTAAGTGTCAGCTAAAACTGCAAAGTAAAATCAAACCCTGAAACATGTCAGTACTTGGAGGTAGCACCTTTGGAACAATTACAGACTTTTTGGAAATATTTCTACCAGAATGTGCACAGCAGGATGATGCAATGTGGGCCCAATCTTCTTTGCAGCCCTGCAAAACTTAAATAATCTTTACAAAAGTCCACTGTGGCTGTTGGGATTCTGACACGGAAACTGCTTCCTGATAACAGCAAATCTTTGCAAGTAATTCTTAAGCATTTTATAAAGCTTTTTTGCAACAGGCCATTCCAATTACTATTCCAAATCTTTGCCAAAATGTGCCTTTCTCTGATTGATAATTAAAAATGTAAAATCACTACAGAATTTTCGTTCAGTCAGGGCTTCTTTATCTCAAGGCATGATTATGTGAAATCCAAGTTCATTTTAGTGCATTTTATAGACTCATCTGTCCGCCTTTGACTTGGGGAAAAATGTTCTCTTGGTGCGGACTGGGAAGAAACTGTGATGATGTGCAAAAAGCACTTTAACATTCCTGGCTGTCCTACGATCTGTATTGCTGCACCTGCCTGGGTGTCATGTTAACTGCTGTGTTACATCCTTTCCCGGCCTTCATTTGAAATGGATGCCAGCTCGTACCGCTTTTTCTCTCCCAGCACCACTTCGGAGTTGGTTTCTCCGTTTGAAAGAACAGATGCGTGGGAATTTGCTGCAGTTATGGCAAGGCGTCAGCTGGTATTTAAGCAAACAAGTTGGAGTGCCTGTGGCATTCCTCTAGGATATGTGCGTTCTGACTCACCTGACAGGGGCATGGGGATGTGTTTTATCAGCTCCACACTCCCCACAGAAGAGACGACTTGCTCACAGAGTGATGACATATGGCCGACCCCGCACATGTGAAGTCTGTTGACAGATGTGAGTTGTATCGTGCTCACCCATCTTGAAAATTTCTCCTCATTCATTACCACCAAAATCCTGGAGGGACAGTATGAAGGTGGATCAGTTTAGCACTGAACAGGTATGAACGGTTCTTAGGTGATATGGACTCCAAGAACCCTTTTGAAATGAACATAAGAGCACAAGAAAGCCTGTTTTGCTTTAGTGATTGTTAGCAGTTTGTAGATCTACGGCTCTTGTCAAAGACCCCCAAGGCTCAGCTTCCACAACATGATTGTGTTGTTTGATCTAAACACATAGCTAATGACTGCCCTGCTTTGTCTGGGACAGTCCTCTTTTAAGATGACATATCTTGGTGTCTCTGCAACTTTTGGGAAAAGATAATTTTGTCCTGCTTTGCAGTTGCTGTCCCATTTGTCCTACTTTTCTTGAATATCTGTGTTTAATTTCTGGCTAGATAGCAATGAGACACCACTACAGTGCAAGTAGCATGCTCAGTGTACGCTCTGTGCTCTTTACTAGTACAGATACTAATGCAATGACAGAGACAGCCTGAGACCCCCCTGTATTCATGACCTCCCACTGTGACTTGTCCTAGATTAAGGCTCCTGAAATGTAATAGTCTTAACACCCACAACTCTTTACGTAAAGATATGCCGTTATTTTATATCCTAAATAGACTGTAAAAACATCCATGTAATATATCCATTTTGTTATCTGGTCCTGATTCTTCTTTAATGGAAAAATCCCTTTTTTCATTCCTGAGTCTCATTCTCAGTTCACTTTCCCTTTATCTCCCTCATCAGCTTGAAATGTCTGACCACTTAATCAAATAATTTTATAATTAATAAGTTTTGTTTTTTCCAAAACCACAGCAGAATGTGTGGGGCTGGGGTTAGTAAGCTAGGGCTGCCAGCCACTTGCAAGCTGGCAGCGATGTCACCAAAAGATGCGTCACTCCTTACGCTGAGTTTTAAAACAGCTGGTGAATCTAAATAGGCTGAGATTTCAATACAAAAATAGTCATTCAAAATTGAAAAAAAAAAAAACATGACTGGAGTTCTCTAATATACATTTGCACCTAAACATGTTTTCTAACCTTGGTGTAAGAATGCAGTTTAAATGTATGTAAATTGCACAAGCCTTTTTTTGTATTCATCTATTTCATAGGGTAGTCAATTGAGACCAATTTCTTATTTACAATGATGAGCTGGAGAGCAGCTCTTCGTACAACAGGGTATTTACTAGAGCAATGTGAAAGAAGGGCCTTACACAAGCAAACAACAGCAGTATCCCACACATGATCCTCTGGTGTGGAGTACAGAGCCATGATTACCTCCACAGGCTGCTGCCTAAGTTGTTAAGAAGCTATTTAAACATTTTGAATCATTTTGAATGAAGAATACCTCTTCTTTCATCCATGATATCCTGTACAATAGGTCCAGAGAAGATGAATATGTGTATAAACACGATTATCATGTCACCTGTCTTTTGATCTTTTTACGTGCCCAGCCAAGATTTGATGGTGTAAGGACAGAAAACTGTGAGTAAAAAAACAGAAAATACAATTACTACTCTTCCATATGCAATTATTACCATACACTGCACCATCGAGAGCATCCTCACCAATTGGATCATCATGTGGTACGGCAACACTTTTTTGAGAAAGAAGGCACTGCGGAGAATGGTGAGTGTGGCCCAGAAGATCATCAGCTGTGGTCTCACTGAGATTAAACAGCTCTATGAGGGCCAGCCGTGGTAGAATTCTGGCCATCACAGAAGACAGTCACCACTCTGAGCATGAGCTCTTCACCCCACTGCCCTCAGGCAAGAGATACAAAAGCATACGGACACTTAACGCTAGGTTCTTCAATAGCTTCTATCCACAAGCAGTGCGATTGGTGAACACATTTAGCCATGCCCCTCGGACCACACCTACACCATCTACCTCATTATAATTTCTTATTTATTGGACATCTCCAGTCATTGTTTACATGTCTGCATTGTTTACACTCAAACTGTTTATTTGTACATTGTCTACCGTTTGTTTGTATATTGTCTTGATGCACTGTCTGCACTTTGTGTTTTTACACTTGTTTTAACAATCGAGAGACTTTCTGTAAGTAAGAATTCCATTGTACCAGTGCATGTACCGGTTACATATGGCAATAAAGTTCAAGTTCAAGTTCAAGTTAATGTCTTCTTTTTTGAACTGGACCTATCTTCAGGACCTATCTTCTCACTAAAAGAGAGGTTTTGTGTACTTTGTTAACTCTTCAGACAGTACAACAACACAACCCCAGAAGTTTTCCTAATCCTTGAAGAGCAGAAAGCAAAGGTGATCAATGTCGCAGTGCTCAAAACATTTTGTGACAGGGTAGACATGACCAACACACATCTCCCTCCTGTGCAGAGTGCTGTATATCTCTGAAGCAAAGCACGGTTTACATCTACAGACTTCGGACAAGAGTGACTGCCACTACTGCACACACAGACACAAAGAAGCCCTGCCTTGTGACCTCTTCTGATTGACTCCAGAAAGTGGCTGCATGACTCCATCCTCACATAAACTAGAGGTGAGAGCTGAGGTGATGTGTTCGCCAGCGAGAAGCCCTGGCCTTTGCTGGCAGATAAAATGAAAACTGTAAAAGCAGAGGATAACACAGAAATCAAATCATAAGTGGTTCAACATCTGAAGTGAATACAAATGTGTGTTCAGAGGAGTAATCAATAATTTAGGGCCCGCTGAAGAACTGTTTGGAGTGTACTTGAGGAGGAGAGCAGTTATTGTGTTTCATGGTTAATTCTGTGTCAATTAGTTGACTGCTACCTTCCCTCCAGCTAAATCTTGTTCAGCGCAGAGAACAGAAGCCCACAGAATTCCAGCTTTAACAGGCCCAGTGTTCAATCATTTATCTCAGGCCTCAGGCATCGAATCAGTGTCAACAGACATTCCATTGAAATCATATCAGGGCTTCTTTCTTGCTCTCTCTCTTGCTCTCTCCTCCTATCATATTTTTACCAGGGTTTTCATCCTTTAGTTATCACACTTAAGGAAGCAGAACGTGTTCAGCCCTAGATGTGTACTTTGTTAACCATTCCTCTATGCCTTATCCTCAGCTCACTCTGCAACATAAAGGCTGCCCGATTTCAACTGGGAGTGGATCTGTGAGACCTCCTTGTACATCACCCACCCCATGAACAAACAATATACTCGTTTTTTTCTCTTTTTGGAAGCTTTCATTAGTCAATAGCTTCTGAATTCCTGTACTCATAGGACTAGTGCCAAATATCTGATTTGCATTTTGTGTATTTTACTGTCTTCATTTGTTGTCTACGCCCTGTGCAAAGTAATGATTTGGTTTTATATGGTTGCAAAGAACAAATTGTAGGAAAGAGATACCAGATAGTTTCATCCCTCTCCAAGATTTGGATAGAACCAGCTATTCAATTCATCATCCATCCATTTTCTAACTGCTTTATCCAATTCAGAGTCACAGGGGAGCTGGAGCCTATCCCTCCAAGCAACAGCAGCAAGGCGCGGTACGACCAAATATTCCAGAATTAACCTCACACATTTTGGTTTTGGACTGTGAGACTCTAAAGCCTTGAGAATACAGGGTGAACATACCAACCCCACACAGATAGCACCCCAGTGTCACGATCGCAAACCCCTGCTCTTAAGGGCGCTCCAACCCTTCCTTGTTTGCCTCATTCCCCACACCTGTTCCTTGTGCCAGCCCCTTTTCAGTTCCCCCTTATAAGCCAGACGCAGACGCCAATCCGGGCTCTACATTGGTTACCGTATCATGCGAGCCCGGGTCCTGGATGCGTCTGGCTCCGTCATGGTTTTAAGTTTCTGTTCCTGTTCCCGTTCCCCCTGCCGGTCCCGACCCGGTTCTGGTTTTTAATCTGCTGGCTTGGATGGATCTCCTGTTCATGGACTTTTGCCTTGTTTTTGGACTTCTCTTTGGACTTGTCCCCGGATTGTTTGTCTCGCTACACCTTCCCTGACCACCAGCATTCCTTGGACACACCCCCCTGTTTTTATTCCCATAACCTGCATGACTTTTTCCCAGTATTTCCTCACTCAACCCCGGATTGTGTCGTCCACGTAGGGTCCGGAAAGAACACTTTCGTGACATCCAAGTCCAAACTGAAGGGATCCAGTACCCTGGGTTCACAATTGTTCAATTGGTACAATTGATTGGTGTAGACTTTGAAACAAAAATAAGGCAGGGGTGCACAACCAGGCTGAAGGTTCTTTGAGCAACAAAAATATAAATAACAAAATTTAAATATTAAATGTGAAGGGATGCAGGTACACTGCCAGTGGAGGCAGCAGACTGCTGGCAAGAGAAGAGAAGTCAGATCAGGGGAATTTTAGTACGTCAGGCCAGGAGACTTTCTGTGACAGAATCACGTCTGCTTGAGACACACCCTTGACCATACATGTGCTCATTCTGTAACACAAATACACACACAAAATGTCGCACAAGTAGATCTTTCTCAATTATAATTTACATGACTTACTTCTAATGATCCATCTGTGAAGTCCAAAAGACAGAGTAAAACCACAAAAAAGTCCCAGGTGAATCTACTCTTTTGCAGAGATACAAAATCCACATACAGACTCAATGCACACAACTTTGGTTCAGTTGTGCAAAGTCAGCCTAGTGGACTTTTCCAGAACACACAGTAAAACGCACCACAGGACACAACTGGTGGCTATGAGAAGGTGCATTTAAAAGTGCAGACAGGAGGCACTTCTTTAGTCAAAGGGATGTGGGATTCTGGAATGAGGCACATGGCCACGATTGTGACACCAATACCCTGGTTTCTTTCAAACAAACAACTGGATGAGATGCTCTGATCAATTAGCTACTAATTATTAAATGGACTAAATGAACTGAATGGCTACCTCTCAATTGTAACCTTTATTAAGTCCTAAATATTTGTACGTGAGCAATATGTATTGCTAAATACTAAACATTTTAATGTACCACTCAATTCTGCAACTTTCATTTGTGTGTGAAGAGAGCATGTAAAGAAAGATAAGACAGTGCACCAAAACCCAG